TGTTTATTCTAACTCATGGTTTAGAGTGAACTCGCCCTCATGGTTTATGTGGATTGATGCTTTGTGTCCTCACCGTCCTCCTTGGTGCTGAATTCCACTCTGTTACTGGGGTTACTCTCAAAGCCATTGTTCGCCACCACCATGAACATGCTATAATTGGAGTAGGGCACCAAGTCTTTAAGAATGCCAGATGGTTCCGGCACAGTGGTGTAGAAACCAGTGGTCTTCTTCTCCTTCCTCACCCCCAGCTCTTTGATTTGACTGGAGTCACGGGAGTAGTATAGCTGGGAGTTACAGGGAGAGGCAAAAAGAGGACATGATGGAAAGTGATGAGTGGGCTACGATGGAGACAGATCTCAGTGCAAAACCTTCCTCCTTCTTACTCGATACTCCTTGAACTCCCCCTGGATAGTGCTGAGATCCACAGGCTTCCAGTGGACATTGGCTGTGGTGCTGCCAACCTTTGACACCCGCAGCTCAGTGGGGGCCTCAGTGGGCTCTGAGAGCAGATCAAACAGCTCATGTTTACTCTTTCCTTGTTACTCAGGAAAATCTACGTTGGCTGAAATTCTCATGCATACTCACTGTCCTCTCCGGAAAATCCGACGACAATATTTGACTCGGGTCCTGAACCAAAATCATTCCTTGCCTGGATTTTGATCTCGTAAGGCACATATGTTTCAGTGGGATGGACGGTATATTTGGTGTGGAATGTGGTCACATTGCTCCACTCCTCCCCAGAATCTTTTCGTCTCCACCACACGCTGTACTGCAAGTTTGGGCCGTTTCTCTGCATATCCTGCAGCGGCTGAAGAGACACAACAAACATTCCAGGTTAATCTGCCAGACGGAGGTGTAGATTAGGATTATAATTCTACCCTGACACTTGTTCGCTTTGGTTGGATTGTAGAGGAAACAGCAGAACTGAAAACATCTGAAAACAGAGCGGTCTGGAACGCCTGTCTAACATCTATCAGCAGTTCAAAGTTTGATGTTTGCGAACATGTTGGTGTTGCAAAGAAACTTAAATAGAATAAATCATTAGAGCAAGTATGTTTTTAAAGTATTTTTACTTTACTTGAGTAATTTTTCAGGGGGTGCTTCCTGGAAATGGAGGGGCCCTCCTTGAGGCCAAGTTGTTCAGAGTCTCAGATCAGAGTTCTAGTTTCTAATAGATTCAACCTTTAACCGCTTTTCTATAGAGAAACAAAGAGGAGAATCAAGACTCTCCTCATTTCTTTTTGGTTTGTTTTTACATAACAAAAAATCAAATATCTGTCCTTATTTTTTGTGTTATTTCTATGCAGAAGTTCTTTCCAGGTGATATAGGATCTATAATAGGTGGTTCTACGTACCAATACATTAGGTGCTTTCTGAAAGTTACAGGTTGTTTGAAATTACTCTGAAAATTAGACAGAAATGTTCTGATTTTGAAAATTTTATCTGTACTTAATACCTAAGTACTCTCAAAAGTGAGTACTTCAATACTTTAACATCAGTAATCAATACTTTTACTTTAATATTATCATTATGATTATTATTATTATAATTACTTTATTTATTCTATTTTACTTTACCGATACTTTTAGGACTTTGTGCATCACTTGGTGTTTCCTTCATTCTCTGCAGTAAAGTGCTGATCAGGATTTTATTGTTTTTTTAATTCTTTCTGTAATGAATTACTGTTTGAATATATTACAGTTAAAAAAGCTAAAGAGGAAAACCTGATCTCCATTTTGATCTCTTGTCAGTCCCACTGAATGCGGAGTGTGATGATGGTTTCTGTTACCTTTGCAGCAGCCATCTTACCTCCCACGTGATCTCCATATTGTCCTTTTTTGAGCCCCATCCACGTAGATCTCTGGGAATGACATCTGGGGCTGGATGTAAAAAAAAATGGAAAGATTTACAGCGAGAAAGAAAGCAGGGAAGGATTAAAAGTTATACTTTAAATTAGATCAGTTATTCTGCTTAAAGTCTTTCACTTTAAACAGATTGAGCTACAAATCGCTAATAAACATCATGAACATGGGGACGTCTGCTAAAGATCTATAAATTCATTCATTCAACAGGTTACTGTCTGGTTTTATTGGGATTTGAGCAAAGTGTGATGTCACTCACGAGCCCCACTGGTTTTGTATCGAGGCGAGGGCCGGCTTGGAGGACTCCGACCCACGGAGTTAATGGCGATGACCCTGAACTGGTAGTTGATGTTGGGGGCGAGCTGCAGGATGACGGAGTTGAGGTCTCCTGGGAAAGAGGAGAGGTTCTGCCATCTGCCTGCTTCCCAGCGATCCTCCTCAAACTGGACCAAGAACTCTGCAGAAACCACAACCAGCTTCAGAAGAACGGATCAAACCAGGGAGAGGTACCGGGTCACCAGGGTACCACGGACTTAACAGAACCAGGATGTTAATTTTTAGTTTAAAAAATATTGTTTATACATTTTGACATGACCAAAAAGTCTGTCTACTTTTAAGGCTAGGCTTAAAACTTTCCTTTTTGATAAAGCTTCTAGTTAGAGTGGCTCAGGTTATCCTGAGCTATCTCTATAGT